ACATAATAGTACCGATAACACAACAGATTAATTCCAGAAATTTTTTTACTTCACAAAATAAATTTATAAATATTAAAATTATTTAAATAAATATAAATTTTGGACTTTTAAATCATAGAAAATTCTAGAAGGTCGAGAAAAATGAAATACTCTTCTAAAAATAATAATTAAATATTTAAAATACTAAAAAATTATTTTAACTAGTATTAAATTTTACGATCATTACAGATATGATGTAATAATCTATTTTTTAGATGTAAGTTAATTAATTTGGTTAAATATACAAGGTCTTATAAGGGAGGCCCATATGATGTAGGAATTAAAAAAAAACAAGCTTCTCAAAGGCCCAACCTAGCAAGCCCATAAGGATACAACTTTATTTTTTTGATTCATCTCTCACGGATGATAATTTGTGAGAGATATTTTCAGAAAATATATCCCACAAACTTTCGTGAATTGATCTCCCACAATCAAAACGTGTGATCCTCTGCAAATTTCTTGTTGCAACTAACTGTTTACCACTAATTAAACTTCCTTAGTCTCAGGGATTCTCTAATCAAACTTTTTCTTTAAAAAACCAATCTCCTCTCCTCCCCCATCTTTGTCCTAAAAACTGCAGAAAAAAACACAGAGAAGAAAGAGAACAACAACTGAAGTTTGACGAGGGGTGGAGAAGGAGCTTGCGTGGTGTTTACGCTTTCGGCATTAATCGACAAGCATATTTTCTATTTTTTTATTGTTCTCATATCTTTCTTGGAACTTCACCTTTAATTTTTTTGGATATCATGTCCCCAATATATAATTTTGATGATAACAATTTATTCATTATGTGTATCACTATGAATATTGGATATCATGTCCCCAATATATAATTTTGATGATAACAATTTATTCATTATGTGTATCACTATGAATATTATTGTGCACTAACATATCTAACAATTTATTCATTATGTGTATCACTATGAATATTATTGTGCACTAACATATCAATGCAGCTTTTAACATCAAATATGAACAAGTGCAGGATGAGTTCAATGCATCATGAAGTAAAGAAGATGAAGAGCTTATACATCAATGTACATTTTACCTTTTCTTTACTTAAAAATTTTTGTACAAGCCTTGATCACTCACACATACATACACATAGTGATTAGAATACACTAATACATGTTTAGTGTGTTGGTTAACAATAGAAATACCCTATGTTAACCATTAGAGTTTATAACTTATAATTAAGTCTAAAAATATCTCATTCATATTAGTTTTTACCCCTTAGTAGTCGACCAATGACTATGTGTAGTCGACTATTGAAGTTTAGATAAAAAAAATATAAGTTTCTGTCAAATTACAGTCTAGTTGACTAATGACTTTTTATAGTCGACTACTAAACACTTGGCAAAATCTCAGTTTCTGTAAAGTTACAGTGTAGTCGACTACTAGACTATATAGTCGACTACTAAAAGTCATTTTAGAATTCTAACTTTCTGTTATTTACAGTGTAGTCGACTACTACACAGTATAGTAGACTACTCGGTTTTGAATTTGAATTTCAGACTTTTATCGTTTACAGAATAGTCGACTAATGACTAGTGTAGTCGACTACTAAGAAAAATCCTGAATTTATAGAGCCTGTTTCAACTCAGTGTAGTCGACTACAACGACTACTAGTCGACTAAAGTGACGGTTTTCTGACATTTTAAAATTTGAATTACTGACTATTTTTAGCCGTTTTGATCCGTTAATTAACTTTGAAAACTTGTCTTTTCAAGGGTTTTAAATAGGTTACAAGTTCAGAAATTTGGTCAACTAATTCCTATCCATAAGATTCAATTTTTGTGCATTCTAAAGAGTTTAAAACATTCAGATTTTTCACTAAGTATTGAGAAAAGTATTCTCTGAGTTATCCTTTGATCCTCATTCAATATACAACTTATTTAGGTAATTTTCAGAGATTAAAAATATTCCTAAAACCACTACTACACATCACTACACAATCAAGACTTATAGGAATTGTATTGTTGATTCAAGAAAAGATCTCTAAGGCGTGAGAGTTGTGATCTCTTGGTGAAGAGATTATGTGCAATTTGCATAGTCTTACAAATTGGTCAGGTTTACTGTTTGATTTTGTAAGTTTTTCAAAATCATAGTGGAACTCTCAAGCATGATTTGCTTGGGGACTGGATGTACACCGGGGAGGTGGAACCAGTATAAAATATTGTGTTTGCGATTGTGATTCTCTGTGATTTTGCTATATTCATTGCAATTTATAATCTATTTTGCATATTTTTTAAAAGGAACACTATTCACCCCCCTCTAGTGTTTTAGTGAGTATTGTAACAGATCCTACAATTTTCTGTGTGCTTAGTAACCATTGCTAAATTTTTCTGTACTCTGAGCATTTCTAGAAGCAATTATTTCTTGCATGTTAATGTTTCGGTTAGTTTATTATATGCACGCTTTGGTATCTCCACTGTTGGGTGTGGTCCATGTTGTTTAGTAAAATGTTGAACAATATGACCTGTTCTATTTTTTTCATCTTCACAACCGGAATTTGGTTCATTTTCTTCTCTTTTTAAAAGTGCATTAGTTGCCCTGGAAAGAAAGGACAATTGGAATATTAATAAGAACTAGACTATTCAAAAATTTTAAGGAATTATTTACATCATATTATGGTTCATGAATAGGCATTTTGCACAGATTGATATTCTATTGTTATTGTACATGGATTAAGTGCTTAAATATTTGAATGTCGATCTTTGTTGTCAATGTGCAAAAATTCGTTGATGTGTAAAATCTGACTTTAAAGGTAGCCGAGCCTATAAGTAATATACCTTATGATGTCATGTATATTTTCCTTCACACGGTTACGGGTTTATATTATACTTCCTAGTAAACAATTATTGTTATTATCTAAAAAAAATACAAAATTTAATGTTTCAAGGATATACCGTAGGTTCTTAAATGTTCCGGCTTCTAGCTAATGACATATTTTCTAACTAATGTCATATTATTCCGCTCATAATTATTAAACTATCACATTAACAAGTAACTTTGATTTAGACTTCAAGGCCCCGTTTGGCAAATGGTTAATGAAGAGGGGTTAAAGAGAAGGATTAATGTACTTAGCCCATTTGATAATCCGAAGGACTAAATTATTAACCCGTTAAATAAGTTTTATTTTAGCCCTTATTATCATTATCAGTTTTAGTGTTTGGGAATAACAATAATTTTGACTATTTTCTTTATAATTAGAAGGGTTAACTCTTATTCCATCTAAATAAGAGTATTAGTAAACCCCTCATTTTGAGGGGTTAACTCATTTTAACCCCTCTAGAGGGGTTAACTTAACCCTTCTATATTTTTTATGTTTGGCAAATTATGGAGGGTTAACTCACTTTAATCCTTATATAGATTTGTTGTGTTTGGCAGGTTAAGAAAGAGTTAAGTCTCCTTAACCCCTCACTTAACCCTTTGCCAAACGGTACCCAAAGGATTTCCAAATTATAGTTAGTTTCAACAACTTTACTCTTTTCCCCATATAGTAATATTATTTGTTATTTATTTATTTTGATAAGGGAATCTGTGTGAATAGATAATTATAAATTTCTCAAATATTTTATCATTAACTTAATTATTTTATACGTTTTTCTTTACCCTTGTCATAATTACAAAGAAGTTGTGTTGGTTAGCATCTTTAGATGATAACATGTAGGTCAGGAGTTGTTTGGTGTTCCCAGTTTGTTTCCACCTTATGGTTTCTTTGGAAGAGTAGGAATGAACTAGTGTTTGATCAGAAGATATCTATTTCGAGTAGAGTGTGGCATTTATCTCGTAAGTTTGCTAAAGAAATGCATATGGTGTTAGAAGTGCATATGAACACGAGTAAAATGCCTAAGTCAGTGCAGTGGAGATCTCCTGAATCCGGATGTTTTATTCTCAATACCGATGGGGCATTCAAGGCGGGTAATGGTTTAGCCTCGGCAGGGGGCTTGATTCGGGACAACAATGGATGCTGGGTTCAAAGTTTCACTCTGAACATAGGTCATACAGACAGTCTTTCGGCTGAATTATGGGGCGTGAGAGCTGGGTTGATGCTAGCTAAAAGTCTAAGCTTGTCGAAGGTTGTGGTGGAACTAGACGCTGCAATTGTTGTTCAATTTCTCAAAGAAGGGATCTCTCACTCCCATCCGATGTCCATAATAGCTCGAGATGCACTAGCCTTGATTAGCGAAGGCTGGGTCACGGAGATCAGGCATATATATAGAGAGGGAAATAGGTGTGCCGACTTCCTCGCCAATCTTGCACAGAGTTGTCAGCAAGGTGTAGTCATTCTGACGGAACCTCCAGCTGATATTATCCCCTTATTATTAGATGATATTAGTGGGAATCCCACTATAAGATTATAGGCCTTTCAAGGCCTCTTTTGTACCAAAAAAAAAACATGTAGGTCAGGAGTTTTAAATCCCGTAACCTTCAAAAATGTTTTTATTTTTGTTGGACCTAAGTTTTTGTGGGTCTTTAGCTAGCAGCTTTTGTGAGTCTTTAGCTAGCGAATCTTTTTTTACTAGAGTTGTTACGTTATTAAAGCAAATCCGTTTGAGTTTGAATTTTTTTTGTACAATGACATCTTTTTCGGTTTTATTTGTTCCCTCAAATGGAATTATGTCCGGTGGTGAAATTTTGGTTGATCATCTTATAATGTTTGATCATATAGTGACACTAAATAGGGCCGACTGATGAAGACGACTTCCGTCAAAAATATGATTCATAAGCGTGCTATCATAGCATGGCTACACCCTTGGCATCGATATCCTGGTGTGATGATTTCTCTTGATTATTATTATTATTATATAATAGCATCGACTAAATTATGCATTCATCTTGATTGGACATGTTCTTGGGTCACGATTATTTTTCATAGTTTTACGGAAGCCGTTCCACGGTAACTCTGTGGTTAGTGCATAACATTTCATGCACATTCACTTAGATCAAACAGATAAATATGAGATTTAATAAAGGGGAATTGGACGAAGAACATAAATTATATACAAGCGGGCTCATGCGTATTCCTGATATCTTGAGTTATATATACAAGGGCCAAGAGCCAACACTTGACTTGAAGCCGTGTTCCCGGGACGGTTTACGGGAAACTGATTTATATACATGATATTATTCTCCTCTAATTCAAATAACATGTAAAATAAGAATAACGTGCTTATATGATTTATATACATGATATTATTCTCCTCTAATTCAAATAACATGTAAAATAAGAATAACGTGCTTATATGCTTTGTGATAGATGATATTATTCTCCTCTAATTCAAATAACATGTAAAATAAGAATAACGTGCTTATATGCTTTGTGATAGATTTATTCGCAATATCTACAAGTAGCATTTCTTTTAGTCACATTTAATTTAGATTTTATCTTTTTTTATACCTGTTACATACACTTACACATGCACAATTCCTTCATTTTATATGCTTGTTGGGAGTTTTCTGACTCCTCTGGAGTTTGCGCACCCCATATTCAGAAACCGTTCTTTTTTCGTAGGACCGAGAGTATTTTGAGGAGTAGACTCTGCAACAGTGACCACCTTTTATTCTATCAGTTCTCCACTTCACTTGTCTTAGATAGTTATTTGGTTGAAACTTTTCCTGCAATCACATGTGATTCTCCAGACTATAATGTATTTTGCCTCTTTCCTACTTTGGATAATTGTGGACTTGTAGTAGAACTTAGTCTTTTCAGAGATTTCTTTATCTATCTATTTTTTTATTGTCTTTAGTTACATGCTCTATGGTGTAGTTTTGGCTTTATATTTGTATATAGGATAATCCAGAAAGCGTGAATGTGACTGTATGGTTGCATTGCCGGCCGAGTCACGTTCCAAACTATTACGTGTTGGAACCGAGGCGTGACAGTGCATTTACAATTTGTTTTCGAATGATCTTTATAATAAATAAGAAAACAAAAAGAAACATAATAGGCATATCTCATCATTTTAGTGAAACAACCGCTAATGTGGTGCATTCTAGGCCTAGTCGCATGTTGTTTAGATTGCGGGGGCTAGGGGTGTCCAAAAAGCCCGGAGCCCGGGCCCGGAAACCCGGGCAAAACCCGGGTCCGGGCCCGGGTAAACATAATAGGCATATCTCATCATTTTAGTGAAACAACCGCTAATGTGGTGCATTCTAGGCCTAGTCGCATGTTGTTTAGATTGCGGGGGCTAGGGGTGTCCAAAAAGCCCGGAGCCCGGGCCCGGAAACCCGGGCAAAACCCGGGTCCGGGCCCGGGCCCGGAACAGTGCCCAAAAATGGGCACTGGTTCTTCGAATGGCCGGGCCGGGCCGGACCGGCCCGGCCCGGCCCGGCCACAACGGTCACTTATGTGACCGTTGAATCCGGGCCGGGCCGGGCCAGCCCGGCCCGCAATCTTATACTATCTCATACTAATATACTATCCTATAATCTTTTGTATTTTCTAATACTTCCAACAAATGGCTTCTGGGTCTGATTATGAAGAGCAACATGCAACTCCTACCGATCCAGAGATGAGTCCTCCTACAACAACTCCTCATCCTACCGGTGTTAATCCTGAATCTGGTGGCGACGAATCTACGGCACCAAGAGCTCCAAAAAGGCCGAGGTCTGATGTATGGAATTTTTTTGAGAAGATAGACGTCACCAAGGATGAACACGGTAGGATCATCTCTCAGAATGCGAAATGTGCGTTGTGCGGCCAGATATTCAAAGCTCATCATAAGAGCGGCACCAACCATCTCAAACGGCATATTGAAAAACACAACAAAGGCCAAAATCTACAAGGTGATATCCGGCAGTCTATGCTTTCCCAATCATCCTCTTCAGGTACCCTCGGCAGTTGGAATTATGACGCTGCCCGAGCCCGGAAATGCGTAATCAGGTTTATTGTTCTTAAAAACCTTCCTTTTAAATTAGTAGAAGATGATGAATTTGAAGATTTATTTAGAGATGGTTTTTATCCTGCATTTACAAAATTTTCTCGTCAAACCTGTCAACGTGATATTTTAAAATATTATGTTGAGGAACAGGGAAAAATAATTTCTTATTTTAAAAATTTAAACTGCAAATTTTCTTTAACTTCTGATATTTGGTCATCTAGAGTGCAAACTGGTTATTTATGTATAACAGCACACTGGATTGATGAAAGTTGGAAAATGTTTAAAAGAGTTGTTTCTTTTATTGCAATTGAAGAGTCACACACTGGTATTAATGTTGCAAATTTAATTGTTGAAGAACTTATGAAACTAGAAATTGATCAAAGAATATTTACTCTTTCACTAGATAATGCAAGTAATAATAATGTAGCTGTTGATTTTCTGAAAATAACTTTGTCATTGCCATGTCATGGTGAGCTTTTTCATGTTAGATGTATCTGTCATATTTTAAATTTAATTGTTCAAAGTGCATTTTCTGAAATTAAACCCATGATAGAAAAAGTTAGAACAGTTACTAATATGCATAATGCTTCTGAAATGAGAATTAAAAGATGGAAACAATGTTGTAAAAGAAAAAATTATAAGCCTAGACTAATTCCAAAAGATGTTGACCATAGGTGGAATTCCACCTATGCAATGTTATCTGTAGCAATAGAATATAAAGAAATTATAAATGATTTTATAAATTTTTATGCTTCTAGTTCTAGCTCTGGTAGTGCTTATGGAATAACTGAAGATGAATGGACAGTTATATGTAAATTAAATGAGATGTTACAAGTTTTTTATGATGCTACTATGTTATTATCTGGTTGTTATTATCCAACTATTACTTTAGCTGCTTTACAAATTTTAAATATTCAAAAAAATTTTACAAAATATCGTATGGATGATATTTTTGGAAGTATAATTTTTGAAATGGAGAGTAAATTTAATAAGTATTTTAGGCCTATTCCTCATATTTTTGGTATTGGTGTTCTTATTGATCCATGCTTGAAGGAAATTGGCCTTCGAAGTTTGTTACAATCATTGTATGGTGGACAGATTATAGACTTAGATGATGGATCCACCCTTACTGCTACTACTCATTATTTAGCTATTAGAAATTATTTTCAAACCTTATATGATGAGTATGCAGCTAGATATGGTGTAGCTACACAACAGTCTTCAGCTTCGGCACCTTCAGCTTCGAGCACAGGTCGAGGTAAAAGTGTAAGTTTTGATAGGTATGCAATGGTAGCTGAACTAACTGGTGGATCTGGAACTTCATCAGGATTAGATGTTTCTGAAATAGATGAATATTTTTCTGCTTCTTTAGTTAGATGTCAAGGAAATGCTTTAGATATTTTGCAATGGTGGAAAGTATATGGATCAGTTTCATATCCTATACTTTCCACCATGGTTCGTGACTTACTATCAGTGCAGGTTTCGACTGTAGCCTCGGAATCCGCTTTCAGCACAGCAGGACGTTTGATCGACGACCACAGGACATGCTTAGATCCGTATACTGTACAAGCGGTGATGTGCTTACAGGATTGGTGGAGATACGAGAAGCGAACACAAGGCATCGAACGGATTGCTATGATTGAAGATAAATTTGAAGAGTTGGGACTAGCAGATAGATATAATGATTAGATAATATTCATAAAATTGTAATTTTTATTTCTTAGCTTTAAATTTGAATTAAATTATTTCGAAAAAAGTTGCAAATGATAGTGATATGGGTGAGTAGGTGCCAACCTAGTTGGGATGTACTCATCTATTGTGATGCGACGAATTTCGAAATAAATTTATACTTGTAAAGGAATTTGTAAAGGATTTACCGATTATTAATAAAGAAGTTATTTTTATCATTTTTTGTACTTGTAATTTATGTCATTTCATTTCAAGCTATTAATTAAATTTATGACATTTTTTATAATAATTTATGGTTTATGGTTTTGTTAAAATTTAAAAAAAAAATTCTAAAAAAAAATCAAACCGGACCACCGGGCCGGCCCGGTGTCCGGCCCGCTCAGGCCCGGGCCCGGGCCCGGGCCCGGCCCGGACCACCCGGGCCCGGGTCCGGGCTTGGGTTTTGCCCGGCCCGGGCCCGGTTTTCCGGGCCGGGCCGGGCCGGGCCGGCCCGGATGGACAGCCCTAGCGGGGGCAACATACGATTTCTAATTGTTGGAGCTTTGGAACTCCAAAAGAGATTCGAGCAGACTTGGTCTTATTAAAAAAGCACTCATTCCATGCTCACACAATTTAATACTATCATGGGTTCTCTTGTTAAGTTCTGTTGTATTCATATCGTCACATAAGATCCCAAGTTCACGCGATAACCCCAAAAATTATCGTAGTAACAATAACAATAATGGATTTGACGCAAGGATGTTTGGCAATCTGAAAGTGAATTTAAAATATGTAAGTTATTTTTTTTACAAATGACTTTTACATCCATGTCAGCACGTAAATGGAATACAGTGTTTGTTTGAAAAATTAAATTATTATCGAAAGTACAATATGAAGATGACGTGGCAAAATAAGATTAATTAGATAATATAATTAAAATTATTTAATTAAATTAGTTACATTTTTTTCACTTTCATGTGACTTCACCACTTTTTTAGGGGAAGTCAAAATTGCATTAAATCATATGTGGCAACTTTCTTGCATCTCACTTTCATAATCACTTACATGAAAACAAACACCTTAATTGTTAAATGAAAGTAACTTTTTTACTTTCATCTTTCACTTGCATGCAAACAAACACCCCCTGAGTGTCACATAAACAAGTATGCGTTTGTTATTGGGATGAATATAATTCAATCTTGGGGATAACCATTATTTGTTAACATGGGTATGATCCAATCTCTTATGATCCACCATAATGATCTTGTAGAAGATGCATTACAAATCTCACTACAATTCGTAACATATTGTCTAAAACACATGCAACTTGGAGCCAACTTTTTCAAGGCCGTCCCCGTACACAACCCCTAATATCACTCAATCCCTACACAAGGGGGAGTATA